GAGATTAATTGTTCTACTAGTTACTTTGGCAAAACCCGAGAGTGTGCTCTCTGAAGTTTTGTGTGCTGTATCACTTCAAATGCCTTTTGAAAGCAAAAATGTATACGGACATCATATTCCACCATCACCTTCTCCCCACATTAGAGCCCTTTCATATCCTGTGCCTCTAAGCTTGTCAGAATAATGCAGAGCTGTAAATTACTAGATGACTGTTACAGCATTTTCATTCATCATTAAGTCATTTTCAGACTTTATTCATTACCTGATTGGCAGAATTCAATGTGATTTTTTCTCCCCACAGTTTCAGATACAAGCTACTTTTTCTTTTCTTTTCCTCCCTACAGAAGCATCAATTACTTAAAAGTTTTCCAAGGATTCCTTCTGTACTATCATTTCTGATAATGTCAGCTGGTCTGGGGCATTAACATTGCATGTCTATGCCATGGCAATGATGGAATGCCAGAGATATTGAAAGAAGCTGAATTATGGTACGAGGAGTTTCTAATATGTCAAAATGCCTTACCAAAGGGAGCATGGGAGAGAGCATCATGTATTCAGGGACAGTGGTGAACAAAGGAGAAGAATCCTTTCAAAAACTGGAGAAACTGTCCTTGGTAATAACTGCACTCACCCAGAGCTCCCTAAATGTGAAGTTTCCTATTAAATTCTCCATGCATGTTAGCTAGTTTGAGTGTATGTGCTCTTACCGGTTGAAGCAACACATAGAATTATCTTTTTTTCCTCCAAGCAGGCAGAATAAAAGATTTGCAACTTGTTCACACAGTCATGCCCTCAGTTTTCTCAAATCCCTAACATGTATGAGGCTTTGTGTGGGCAGGTGATGTGTACAGAAATTATATTTTCTGTGTTCCAAAGTAGAGATGGAGTATTTAATACCTAATATCGTGTAAGTCTGGATAATATGGTCATCTATTCCAAGTGTGCATGCTGCATACATCAACCTCATCCCCCTGTCTGAAGTATTTGCATGAAAATGTCTGGTATACTACACATCTTAAAAACTGACCACTACTTTGGGGGTGATCAGGGATTATTATTCTGATATTCCAACGAAGAACCTGAGGCTACCAGGGAACACACATCATGCCCAAATTCTCTTGGATGATCAATGGCAGTGTCAGGACAAGGATGTGTGTGGGTCATGACGTCTAGTCTATAACTTTTGTGAAGTTCTGTGGCCCACAGAAAGAGTGTTTTCAAAAAAAATCACAAACAGGAAATTATTTTTTCTTTTATGATCTTTGAGATTCCATCTCAAGTTTTAAACTTTCCATTGTCTCTGCCAAATTTTCTACAATTTATCTCCTTGTTCCTTTCATCATAAGAGGTGGCAAGAAAGTGGTGAGCAGAAAGCTGTCCATTATGTCTGCTGGGAGGAAGATTTACCTGCCAGGTTTCTAAATCAGAGGCCCCCAGCTCTATGATACACTTTTGTCTGCTCCACTCTCTTTTGAAGCCCAGAACTGTAAGTCATCAGAGTGCGCTTGAATTTTAAGAGAGTGGGCTTGATCGCAGGCCTTTAATGAGACCTACAGTCCACTCTGGGTAAGGAGTGAGGCCTTCAGTAGGGAAGAGGCCCTGGGCTCAGGGCACCAGGTTGAAGTCTCACATCCCTGATAAAATCCATAAGCCAGAAGTGCCACAGAGGGTTTAGGCCTCAGTGGCCTATGAAGGAAGTTCCCACAGGAGGGTGAAAGAGAGAGTACAGGGTGAGAAACAGTTAAGTATGGGGGAAGGGATGATTTAGAATTTAGAATTAGATGTTCAAGTGGGATTTAGTGGATTCATTATTTGTACATAGCTTGTTTGAAAGCTCCAGACAACTGTCCTCTGATGCTGTCTGTGTTCTGTGGAGTTAGGTTTGGTACTTTTGTAATAAAAAATACAGGCAGTATTTTGCAAGGGTTGTATGCAAGTTTTTCTTTCATATATATATAAATTAAATCATAGCTGTGTACATTAATGGGGTACAATGTGCTCGTTTTACATACAATTTGAAATGCTTTCATCAACTGGTCAACATAGCCTTCATGGCATTTTCTTAGTTATTGTGTTAAGATGTTTATATTCTATACCTAGTAAATTTCACATGTACCCTTGTAAGATGCAACGTAGGAGGTGTGGTTCCACCAATTACCCTCCATCCACCCATTCTCCCTTCTCTCTCCCCTTTCCCCTTCTTTTTGGGCTATAATTGGGTTATAGCTTTCTTATGGTTTTATAGTAAGACTGAGTACATTGGATACTTTTCTTTCCTTTGTTGAGATACTTTGCTAAGAAGAATATGTTCCAGCTCCATCCATGTAAACATGTAAGAGGTAAAGTCTCCATCTTTCTTTAAGGCTGCATAATATTCCATGGTGTACATATACCACAATTTATTGATCCATTCATGGGTCAATGGGCACTTGGGCTTCTTCTATGACTTAGCAACTATTCATTGGGCTGCAATAAACATTCTGGTACATATATCTTTAGTATAATGTGATTTTTAGTCTTCAGGATATATACCTAGTAGAGGAATTGTAGGATCCAATGGCAGATCTATTTTTAGATTTCTAAGTGTTCTCCAAGCATCTTTCCAAAAGGAACGTATTAGTTTGCATTCCCACCAGCAGTATAGAAGTGTTCCCTTTTCTCCATATCCACACCAGCATCTCTGGTTTTGGGATTTTGTGATGTGGGTTAATCTTACTGGAGTTAGATGATATCTCAAAGTAGTTTTGATTTGCATTTCTCTGATGATTAAGGATGATGAACGCTTTTTCATGTGCCTGTAGGCCATGCACCTGTCTTCTTCAGAGAAGTTTTTACTCAAGTCCCTTGCCCACCCTGAAAAGGGACCACTTGTTCTTTTCTTGCTAATATGTTTGAGTTCTCTGTGGATTCTGGTTATTAAACCTTTGTCAGAGACATAACCTGGAAATAACTTCTCCCATTCTGAGTGCTGTCTGCTTGCTCTACTCACTGTCTTCTTGGCTGTGCAGAAGCTCTTTAGTTTGAGCAGGTCCCAGTAGTGTATTTTCAATGTTGCTTCAATTGCCCAGGGGTCCTCCTCATAAAATATTAGCCCAGGCCCAATTTCTTCAAGAGTTTTCCCTGTACTTTCTTCTAGTATTTTTATAGTTTCATGACTTAAGTTTAAATCTTTAATCCAGAGAGAGTCTATCTTAGTCAATGGTGAAAGGTGTGGGTCCAGTTTCAGTCTTCTACAGGTCGCCAGCCAGTTTACCCAGCACCATTTGTTAAATAGGGAATCTTTTCCCCACTGGATGTTTTTAATTGGCTTGTCAAAGATCAAATAACGATAAGTAGCTGGGTTCATCTCTTGGTTCTCTATTCTGTTCCATACACCTACCTCTCTGTTTCTGTGCCAGTACTGTGCTGTTTTGATCACTATCAACTTATAGTATAGTCTGAGGTCTGGTGGCATAATTCCTCCTGCTTTGTTTTTATTTCTGAGTAATGACTTGTCTATTTGAGTTTTTTTCTGATTCCATATAAAATGAAGTATTATTTTTTTGAGATGCTTAAAGTATGACAGTGGAGCTTTAATAGGGACTGCATTAAAATTGTATATTTCTTTGGGTAGTATTGACATTTTAACAATGTTGATTCTTCCCAGTCATGAGCATGGTGTGTTTTTCCATTTGTTAACATCTTCAGCTATTTCTTTTCTTAGAGTTTCATAGTTCTCTTTATAGAGATCTTTCACGTCCTTTGTTTAGGCAAACTACCAAATATTTCATCTTCTTTGGCACTACTGTGAATGGAATAGAGTCCTTGACTATTTTTTCAGCTTGACTATTGTTGGTAGATATAAAGGCTACAGATTTATGAGTGTTGATTATGTAACCTGGGACGCTGCTGTATTCCTTGATCACTTTTAATCATTTCCACTCAGATTGGGAACCAGGGAAGGTTGCCCATTGTCCTCATTGCTTTTCAACATTGTAATGGAAGTCTTAGCCACTGCAATTGGGCAAGAAAAGGTATCAAATGTATCCATATAGGGTCAGAAGAGAGCAAATTTTCACTCTTTGCAGATGATATGATTATATATCTGGAAAACACCAAGGATTCTACTATATGCAAGTTTTTTAATCACCAGAGTTTAGTTAAATGATGCCAGTCCTTCAACCACACAGTTCAAATCTAGTTATCTTGATATATTAGTGTGAACAATTCCATAATATAAGTATGCCCTTAGGTGCTGGCTTGACAGTCCGCATGTCACAGATGTGCATCGTGATGAATGACCAATCACACCACTTCCTTCTGAGGGTGACTGGTCCTTCCACGTCTGTTGTTTATGTCATGCCCAGACAGTAAAGTGTGCAGTTGTGCTGCTTTCTTCTTCTCAGTGGGACAAACTAGGGGACAATTTTACAAAAATGAATAATGCAAAGAGAAAATTGGCCATCAAAGATGAAAATTTAGATAACCAATCATGGAAGAGGTAAATTTTGACTGGAATATCAGTGGAAATACAGAAGAAATAGCTGACTGTGGTGATGTTGACACTGCTCCCACTCAAGGGCTTCTGGATATGCAGTCAGAGGAATTACTAACAGTGAAATTACTAGCATGAATGAGGAAAGAGGTGGGAATGGAAAAGGTGAAGATGTTCCAGAGGAAGTAATGATGGAAGAAGACAGAAGAAAGAGAGAAAGAAAGAGAGAGCGAGACAAAGAAAAGAGGGGAAAAAGGAAAAGAGAGAGAAGGAAAGAAAGAAGGGAGGGACACCGAGAGGGAGGGAGGAAAGCGAGCTTTATAAAACCTCTCAGAAATATTTCACCACATTCAAAGCACAAGTAATACAATTCTGGAAGCTGATTCAAACTTAGCAAGGAGTATGACAATTTCTCAAGGCATCGAAAAGATGCCCACTCCATCCCTCCATTTCATAATTTATACAATGAGAAGAATGTAAGGACTGTTCAACTATTCTCAATGAGTGATTTTTTTTTCACCTGTGTAATGGAGGCCACAAAATTGTAGTGAGCTACCCTAGGTGGAATAGCCCACTGTGGAGGGTGGTGTTTTCTTTATCTTCCCAAATAGCCCAAATTCATAAATGGTATTACAAAAACATTTCCCCCCCATGATGAGTGATTTTTAACTAAACTTTTACTTAAGACCACTGTAGAGTCCCGTGGAGTTGTAGAAAATGATGTAGAAATACATCTGTATCATTTACTCAGTTTCCTCCAAAGGTAATATTTTGAAACTGTAGCACACTATCACAACCAGTGAGCTGATACTTATACAGGCAAGACAGAAGACCAACCACTCTCTATTCCCTGGCATCCACTAATCTGTTTTCCATCTCTACTATATATATTTTTTTTCAATTTTAAGAATGCTTTACAAATAGATCTATATTGTATGTCAAATTTTCAATTAAGATTCTTTATAATTCTCTGGAGTGTTATCCAGATCGCTGTGCATTTCAACAGCTTTGCTCTTTGTTGTTGGTTAATAGTATCCCAGGGTGTGGATGTACCATGTTTTTTAAACTCCTCATCCACTGAAGAATATCTGTGTTGCTTTTAGTTTGGGGTTGCTATAAATAAAAACAAAGCTTCTCTAAACATTTGTAGAGCGGTTTTGTACCAACATAAGTCTTCATTTCTCTGGGAGAAATGTTCAAGGGTTAACTGATGTTCCATTTCCTAGCTGTATGCTTAGTTTGTCAAGAAACTGCCTAGATGTTCTCCAAAATATATCATTTTACATTCCCACTAGCCATATCTGATGACCTAATTTCTTTGCATCTTCTTTTCTATGTTAACTTTTCCAATCAATCCATGAATATTATGTCTCTCCATTTATATAAGGTTTTCTTGGTTTCTTTAATCAGCATTTTGTGGTTTCAGCATACAAACCAATACATGGTAATATTTTGTTAGATTTACCCGTAAGTATTTCATTGTTTGGCCAATTATAAATAGTATTTTTATTAATTTATAGGTCCACATGTTCGTTCTACTATATAGAAACACAACTGATGTCTGTACGCTTTCCTTGCAAGCTGCAACCTTATTGAACTCACATATTGATTCTAGGTTGTTTTTTTGTTTTTTTTTTCCTTTTGGTAGATCACTGGGGATTTTCAGTGTCAACAATAATGTCGTTTTTAAGTCGGGACAATTCTATTTCTTCCTTTCTGACTTGAATGCCTTTTATTTCTGTTTCTTGACATACTGGACAAGCAAGAACGTCCAGCACTGTGCTCAGTAAAAAGAATGACAGCAGACCTCCATGCTTTGCTCCCAATCCTGGGAGAAAATCATTAAATCTTTCTCTATTAGGTGTGATGTTAGATGCAGGTTTTGGTGGATACGCATCTTCAAGTTGAGGAAGATCACTTCTGTTGCTGTTTTTCTGAGGCTTTCCGTCATAAACAAGTGTTAAATGTTATCAAATGCCCTTTTCGTAATGATTGATATTATGTGGCTCTTCTTTAGCTTGGTAATGTTATAGGTGATGCTGATTGGTAGCTCTTATTAAACCTGAAATAAACTTCACTTAGTGATCATATATACTTATTTTTCTTATATTTCTAAACTGTATTTGCTAATATTTTATTAACGATGTTTATTTCTATATTTATGAGGATCTTTGGGTACTGTCTCACCTAGTTATGGTATCAAGGTAATGCTAGCTGCGTAAAACAAATTGGGTAGACTCCTCTGGTCTAAAGTTTTGAAATTGTGTTTAATTGGTGTCAATTCTTGTTTTAACATTTGGTGGAACTCTCCAGTGAAATCACCTCAATTTAGATGCTTCTGTTTGGGGACATTTTAAATGAATATTTAATGTCATGAATAGTTAATGATTAAGGTCATTAAAATAATATAGGTAAGTTAATATCTTCAGTGTTTTTTTGAAGCACTAGTCAATTTTACCGAAGTTGCTAATTTTGTGTGTGTACAGTTGTTCATCATATTCACTCATTCTCTATAATGTATTGAGACTTAACTCTGTCATTTTATTTGATTCTTTTCTGTTTGTTACCTCTATTTTCTGCATATCATTTTTTTCTGTCTTCCTCTGAGTTTCCTGAACATGATTTTACAATTTGATTATGAAATATCTATAGTGTTTTTGCATCTCTCTTTTTGTCATGATGTTTTAGTGTTTGCTTTAAAGGTAAACATCCTTTAGATATACATAACTTATCATGACACACTGGTTGAGTCATTTTACCTGTTTAGGCGAAGAGTTAAAACCTTATCATGCATTATGTCTCTTTACAAATATAGTATCTCTTTCAGATATGAACCACCTCAGACAATGCAATAATTTTTGCTTTCCACATCAGAAATGATTTGGAAGATGTCAAAGAACAAGAAAAGTCTATATTATTTCTCTGCATTTTTTAATTTTTTAATTAATTTTTATTAGATCATAATTGTGTACATTAATTCTATCATAGCATACAGTGTGTTACTTCCATATGCAGTTTGGAAAACTCTCATCCAACTGGCTAACATAGCCATCATGTTTTTCTCATAATTGTTGTGTTAAGACATTTATATTCAACCTTTAGACAAATTCACATGTACCCTAATAGGATAAATTATAGGCGTGATCCCCACAATATCATGTGTTCTTTGTTCTTTCCTGATGTTCCAAGGGCCTTTCTTTTATCATTTCTTCTGTTTAGAGAACTTCCTTTAGCCAGTATTTTAGAGTAGATTTTTTTAATGACAAATCACTTTGTTTTTTCTACATCTCAAATTGTCTTGGTTTCCTCTTCATTTCTAAAGGACATTTTCTCTGGAGGGGTGTAGAAGTCTGGGTTGATAGCTCTTTCCATTTGGTATTTGAAAATTGTGCTACTTCCGTCGAACCTGTATGGCTTCTGATGAGACATCCACGGTTGTTCAAATAACGTTTTCCCCTCTCAGTGAGGTGTCATTTCCTTTTCAAAGCTTTCAAGGTTTGTTTTCCTTACCTTCAGTTTTCAGAAGTTTCACTATGGTATATCTGGGTGTGAATTTCTTGGGTTAGTTATGTGTGGGATTCACTCCATTTTTGAATCTTACATATGCATTGTGCCAAGTTTTGGAAGACATAGAGGTCATTTCTTTTCTTTGAGTACTTTTTTTAGCCCTGCACTCATTCTCCATACACAAATGTTGGATCTTTGATTATTCCTCCACGGGTCACTGAAGCAATCGTTCCATTTTCAAGTTTGCTGATTTTGTGCTCTATCCCCTCCATTCTGCCACGGTCCATTATCCAGTATCTTTTGTTTTTTAATTTTGGTTCTTGTGTTTATCAGTTATTAAACTTTCATTTGTTTCTCTCTTAATATCTTCTGTTGTTTTACTGAAAAGTCTTTTTTCTTTTTCTTTCTTTCTTTTTTTTTTTTTTTTGAGACATAGCCTCAAGCT